TATCCTGAAAGGAGATGCTTCCCTTGCCTGGTTTCCACACAGGGACCTCGCGAAGTTCGCAACAGGGGCCGTTGTGAGGGTCCCTGAGGTTGGTCTGGACACTTCTGGGGTGCTGGCGAGTTTGGCGGGCTTTGCGGTGCCCGCTGGGACTTTTCCCGTGGGTGGGCTCTCTGTGCCTGGGAGACAAAGGGACAGTCCCTTTTTTCTGCGCTTGGTCTCCCAGGTACAGAGGCTCATGGGATGAAGGCCCCACTGTCCCCGGATGTGGGAAACCCTGTGTTTGTGTGGCGGGCTTTTGGAGACAAAGGGACAGAGCCCTTTCCTGCGTTAGGTTCCCAGGGAGGGGGAGGACAATGGGAGGGGGCATGGTATGCTGTGTGTTACACCCCTTGCATGGGGTTATGTTTAAAAGCCATGTGCGGCCAATAAAGTGGTTGTTGTACCTCCAGTTACTGGGGAGGAAATGGTTTATATCCTAAATGGTTCCTGTTCAGCTGAAGTAAATAGCGGAGGTAACTGGTCAGGTTACCAGGTGTTCCGCTACAGTAAGTTACAGCAACTTTCCATTTAAAAAAAAATATTTTAAACATCAGGTAGTTTGTATTAAGATTCAACATTTGGGGGAAATCTGGTCCCTAATATGTCAACCTTCACTAGAGGAATACTAAATCTAGCAGGATTCTAGCCATTAGTGACTGATTTAGGCATCATTGGGATAGGACAATAGATCATAAAAAAACTCTGTGAATCACACACCTATTGTTTGCTCGAATCCATTCACAATCCCTTCCACGTGTTCCTCAAACTCTGTCTTATCAGGAGATACACAGACAAGATTATTAGAGACAGCGGATGACCTGCAAGAAATGAATGTAGTTTAATGAAATGGGTTCTTAATCTAGGAATCCTGGATGATCTATTTCTTGCCCTTTGACTATGAGGATTTTATTTCAGCATTACAAAGCAGCCCTACACTGAAACAGTAAAGATAAAACATATTAATAACAACCAAAGCAAACGTTAGGATGTGAATGTTATAAAGATTCGTTAGAACTGTTTCTGTGCTGGACGACTCATTTAAACATCTTGAGAGCAAGTATAGTCTTAAAAAGAAGAGGTGTGAGTTAATGTTCTGGGGCTGGGTGTACTGATTATTTAATGTCACATGGAATTTTAGTATTACCTTTCTGGTGCTATTTCATCATCACTGTCCTCATCAGATTCTTCAGCGTCTGGAATAATAAAATACAGGGAGTGCAGAATTATTAGGCAAGTTGTATTTTTGAGGATTAATTTTATTATTGAACAACAACCATGTTCTCAATGAACCCAAAAAACTCATTAATATCAAAGCTGAATATTTTTGGAAGTAGTTTTAGTTTGTTTTTAGTTTTAGCTATGTTAGGGGGATATCTGTGTGTGCAGGTGACTATTACTGTGCATAATTATTAGGCAACTTAACAAAAACAAATATATACCCATTTCAATTATTTATTATTACCAGTGAAACCAATATAACATCTCAACATTCACAAATATGCATTTCTGACATTCAAAAACAAAACAAAAACAAATCAGTGACCAATATAGCCACCTTTCTTTGCAAGGACACTCAAAAGCCTGCTATCCATGGATTCTGTCAGTGTTTTGATCTGTTCACCATCAACATTGCGTGCAGCAGCAACTACAGCCTCCCAGACACTGTTCAGAGAGGTGTACTGTTTTCCCTCCTTGTAAATCTCACATTTGATTATGGACCACAGGTTCTCAATGGGGTTCAGATCAGGTGAACAAGGAGGCCATGTCATTAGATTTTCTTCTTTTATACCCTTTCTTGCTAGCCACGCTGTGGAGTACTTGGACGCGTGTGATGGAGCATTGTCCTGCATGAAAATCATGTTTTCTTGAAGGATGCAGACTTCTTCCTGTACCACTGCTTGAAGAAGGTGTCTTCCAGGAACTGGCAGTAGGACCGGGAGTTGAGCTTCTTGACTCATCCCTCAACCCGAAAAAGGCCCCTTACTGTGCTTCCATCTTTGATGATACCAGCCCAAACCAGTACTCCACCTCGCTGGCGTCTGAGTCGGACTGGAGCTCTCTGCCTTTACCAATCCAGCCACGGGCCCATCCATCTGGCCCATCAAGACTCACTCTCATTTCATCAGTCCATAAAACCTTAGAAAAATCAGTCTTGAGATATTTCTTGGCCCAGTCTGGACGTTTCAGCTTGTGTGTCTTGTTCAGTGGTGGTCGTCTTTCAGCCTTTCTTACCTTAGCCATGTCTCTGAGTATTGCACACCTTGTGCTTTTGGGCACTCCAGTGATGTTGCAGCTCTGAAATATGGCCAAACTGGTGGCAAGTGGCATCGTGGCAGCTGCACGCTTGACTTTTCTCAGTTCATGGGCAGTTATTTTGCGCCTTGGTTTCCACACGCTTCTTGCGACCCTGTTGACTATTTTGAATGAAACGCTTGATTGTTCGATGATCACGCTTCAGAAGCTTTGCAATTTTAAGAGTGCTGCATCCCTCTGCAAGATATCTCACTATTTTTGACTCTTCTGAGCCTGTCAAGTCCTTCTTTTGACCCATTTTGCCAAAGGAAAGGAAGTTGCCTAATAATTATGCACACCTGATATAGGGCGTTGATGTCATTAGACCACACCCATTCTCATTACAGAGATGCACATCACCTAATATGCTTAATTGGTAGTAGGCTTTCGAGCCTATACAGCTTGGAGTAAGACAACATGCATAAAGAGGATGATGTGGTCAAAATACTCATTTGCCTAATAATTCTGCACTCCCTGTATAAATCAGTACATGCAGTATATAATAGTAATATATAATATAGTATAATTCAGTACATGCAGTATATAATATAGTGTAATTCAGTACATGCAGTATATACTAGTAATATATAATATAGTGTAATTCAGTACATGCAGTATATACTAGTAATATATAATATAGTGTAATTCAGTACATGCAGTATATAATAGTAATATATAATATAGTGTAATTCAGTACATGCAGTATATAATAGTAATATATAATATAGTGTAATTCAGTACATGCAGTATATACTAGTAATATATAATATAGTGTAATTCAGTACATGCAGTATATACTAGTAATATATAATATAGTGTAATTCAGTACATGCAGTATATAATAGTAATATATAATATAGTATAATTCAGTACATGCAGTATATACTAGTAATATATAATATAGTATAATTCAGTACATGCAGTATATAATATAGTGTAATTCAGTACATGCAGTATATAATAGTAATATATAATATACTGTAATTCAGTACATGCAGTATATAATAGTAATATATAATATAGTGTAATTCAGTACATGCAGTATATACTAGTAATATATAATATAGTATAATTCAGTACATGCAGTATATAATATAGTGTAATTCAGTACATGCAGTATATAATAGAAATATATAATATAGTGTAATTCAGTACATGCAGTATATAATAGTGATATATAATATAGTATAAATCAGTACATGCAGTATATACTAGTAATATATAATATAGTATAATTCAGTACATGCAGTATATAATATAGTATAATTCAGTACATGCAGTATATAATAATAGTATATAATATATGTAATACCTTCATATTATTCAGCAGCACAGCAGCCTTGACTCAAGGCCGCTATTTGTGTCATTTTATGTTATTGCTAATATTGATTGATATGTATGTTATCCAGCACATTAACTCTTTGCTGGGAAGCACTGCGTGTGAGCACCAGGTATAGATAATACACCTCCCGTTGGCTCATTACTGTGTCCAGCGTCCACATTCCGTGAGCACAATACCCTCTTCACATGCAGGATCAGCTTGCACACCTGTTCATATCCGTGTCCCATCCGTCATATTTTAGAAGGATTAAGATTGTCATTGACAAACACCTTCATTACCGGCTCTGAATGAGCTCACTGACATCAAAGATGCATGCAGAAAAATGCTTTTATTTCTTTGTTCATACAGATTTTTAACCTCTGACACACAAGCATGTCAAATAAAAAAAACCTTTCCGGACAGCCAACAGATACGTAACCTTTAAAACATTGTGCTGGGTTATACCTGAGCAGCAGTTATTGGCTTTTGGATTGCAGGTAACACTGGGCTATTCACAAAACTGGGAATTGTGGAAAATTGACAAGGAAATTTTAAGTTGTGGAATAAAACAGCCGAGGTGGAGAATTAGCCCAATTTGTCTCTTTTGGCCTAGAATTTATAATTCCTTCGCCAGTGCTTCATAATTCCTTTGCTCAACAACCCCAAATACCAGTGAATTTATAATCAAATGGCAAATTGAGTCTGTTTTGAAAAAACACATTTCTAATGGTATATGATGTGTATAGAATGATGTGTATACACAGTCAGAATTATATCACAAAGTGCAAAAGTGAAGCAGTCACTCTGGAAATCAATAGAATATCCCTTACTGGTTAATTCACAGTTATTCTTTACATTGAAAGATACTCCAGGCACCAACATAATGTTTTGATCAAGTTTATGCCTTATATAGCTTTGTGCTGCATAAGCCACACCTCCACGTTTTACAAGATATCTACCTGATTGGGAGTACAAGTGTACATACTCAGCTCAGCCAATGAGAGATCAGTGTGAGCTGAGTTGCTAATATGACCCCGCCTCACAACCTGTCACTGTTCTGTTACAGGCTTTGATCTCTCATGGCTGAATTGCAGAAAGACATTTTTATGAAAAGTCGAGGCAGGTCTAAAGAGACATGGGTATAGTGCGGAAACCTGCAAAAATGCTAGCTTTTGCAAACATAAATACGTTTGAATGTGGAGAAAAACACAGGCCAAAACCTATAAAAGACACATATGTTATTTTAGTCCTGGAGAGTTATTTTAACATCCATTATGTCACTCATTGAAGAAAATAGCAAAATTGGCCATTGGTTTTAACATATATTATCACATGTTTTGTTCACTTAGATGTCCGTTATTGCTGATTTTGATAAGATGGCTAAAGCTCCCTCCAGGCCAAGCTGGGCAGCCCACCAGACTACAACGTACCCAGTGACTAAAGCGAATGCCAAAAGTCTGGCTCAGAGCACAGAGTGGAATGCTGGGATTCGACCCGCACCTGTAGCATCTGCTGTACCCAAAATATCTGAACGTGGAAAGAAAGCCTACACAAGGACCTCCAGAAGCTCCCCAAGTAAATACATTCTCCTTTTCTAGTGGTTGGGATATCCCGATGCAAAAGATAATTAAATTGTCACATTTGTTTTTTAATCTTTCTTTTATTGAGGCCAAATATGGTATAATTACAGAAAAGAGAAAATGGAGTGTTAGCAAGGATATACAAAGTGGTTGAATGATTGTTGTACAGTACTAACGACTCCTGCGTAAACTGCCTCATTTTATAATAAGTAGTTACAAGCTAGGCAAACCTACCGCGAGACAAGATTCATGACATATTCTAGGCTAGAAATTATCATACTTAGAGAAAGATATAGGCTACATATCTGTAAGTACGGTCGGTATGCTTATAAATCAGGATAAACCAGGTATAAACAATGCATATCTTAAGCGTAGTAGGCTGGGTACATAAACGCAGATCGGCCGTTTCTCCCTTCCAGAGTCAGGGCCACGGATCTGATTCGAACCCCTGAGGGTTCCAGATTGTAGCAAACTCCCTTAGAGGAACACCTTAACCTGCAGGAGCAGGTAAGTATGCCCGAGAGCTGCAGCAGAAGGTGGATTAGAGGCATAAAATCAGGATTTGATGGCAGATCGTGCGGAGTTCACTGAAAACATGTCTGCCCACCATGCTGTCCAGGCTTGCCCCTCGAATTGTCACATTATATGTTTCTGAGGAATGTAGTTAACACCAGCTGAGGTCAGGTCGATCCTTTGTACAAAGAAGGACCATATCTGATTAAGTAAAGTGTCACTCACACCAGACAAAGAGCCAAAACAGCGTGTTTTGTTTATTAAACAAATGTTATTGAGTTTTTGAACAGAAAAGAAACATGTCCATTTAATACAAACACAATATAAAAAAGGAAACTAAAAAATGCAATTAATATCTAAACCAAATTAAAATATTACAAAAGAGAAATACAAAGAAATAAAAAGCGTATATTAAAACCCACCCAGAATTTTAATATAAAATAAGAGGAAAAGACTAGCATTTTTACAGCAGCCTTGCTGCTTGTTTTGATATCACCTAGTGCTCACAAGATCCAGGATTTCCCAATAAAAGGGAAGATAAATCGTTTTCTAAATCCTTTAAATGCAAAAGAACTTGTAGTTTGTAGTTATTCGTTTTCAAAGAGAGAACATTTATTGTTTGTTTTAACTTATTTTAGATTGCCAATTTATAGTACAAATGATAAGTTTATTATTACTGGTAATTATAAAGCACCAGGATATTCCATACAACATTTGATATGCCATTACGTTTTCTTTTCTTTCTATCTCTATTAATCTGCCAGGACCCTGTTAAGATATAGGTTAAATATGACATGTAATATGAACAATCAGTGCAAAGTAACATATTGTTTTATTTATATCCCATTTAGCAGCCCCTTTATTCGAGAGTCAGCCCTGGGAATTGCCCCCATCGAATGCAGGATCGGATGAAGAATAGGATTACTGCACCTACTGGTATACTCCAGCACTCGAGAGAACAAGGTGGCCGCCATGTTTAACTTTACTGGGATTTAACTCATGTCTCGGTCCCCAGAACATGACCCCATCTTCCATGTTTTGTTATTTACAGTGCCTTAGATCCAATCTCCCCTTTTATGTGCTGTCTGCTTGTTCCTTGCATATTTTGTTCCTCCTCAGTCATTGACGTGACATCATTAAGCCTAAAGGAGGAAGAGAAAGGTACAGACACAATGGACATTACAATCCCATGACCTGCCCTGATTGCCTGAGTCTGAGTTCCCTGGGGGGTGACTAATGACCCTCGAAGTACATTGATTAACCTCATCTTGACAGATTACATACCACAACTGTCACAATATACAGAGATTTGCCTTTTAGTCACTGATTTAACTTATCAAACACTGAATTGTCAACCAATTATGTCTACTTTAGGCTGAAATAGCCAAGTGTTAAAGTGGATGCGTTATCGGCTTATATTTTTTCAAATTACGCTATTAAGGGAATTACTTACAGCTCAATGTAGTGGTTATGGTGTCTATAGCCTGTCCCTGCAGCGTGTGCACTGTAAACACTGCCTATTCAGAGAAAAGGAAGTGTTTATATTGCTGCCTAGCAACACCTCTAGTAGCAGTCACTCAGACGGTCACTAGAGGTGCTTCCCTATGGGAAAACATTGGATTGGCTGAGATTGTCACATTTCATGATCTCAGTCATGGAGACAGAGCCATCTGCAGCAAGTAGGTGGCACTGGAAACAAGGTTTATATATTCATAAACCACTTGAGGTTTATGAATTTTGAAAATCATGAATTTAGCCTTTCACTCAAAGCAACAGAATCCATTACAGAGCACTAATGGCGTGCATGCAGTAGCAATCATGTTGTTTGGAAAGCTCAGATAGCCGGTGACATTTCTGAGTAAAGACATTTGTGAGCATAAATGTATGACATCAAAAGATCACGTTAAAGCACCTTGTGATAATTGTATGAGGTGCAGTGCAGAGAGCTCCCTGCTGAGCGTGCCTTATACAGACACTCCTCACTTACCAACCGGGTTCTGTTCCTACGACCCGGTCGTAGAACAAATTGGTCGGTAAGTGAGGAGTTTAGGGATTCCCTGCTCTGGTGCATTCGTCTGTGTTCGGGGAAACTTCCCTGAACATAGATGAACCCACCAGCGCAGGGAACACCTCTAATCTATCGGGGAAGTTTCCCCGAACATAGACATGCGCACCAGAGCACGGAATCCCCACAACCGCTCGCACTTACTCCTGGTTGTAAGTGCGAGCCGTCATAACACAAGTAGGTCACTAAACGAGGACCATCTGTAAATGCAATTTATTTCAGTGCATACACAATTGTGAATCAGGCTGTGTATAAACTGATTGCAATCACAGTATGGCAGCTCTCAGTTTATTTAATTTCACTTGTTCTATGTGATGAGTGGAATAAACTACAGTGGTACCTCAGAACTCGAACTTAATCTGTTGCAGAAGGCTGTTTGAGAACCGATTTGTTCGAAAACCGAATCAGATTTTTTTCCAGAAGAATTAATGGATTAATAGATTAATCCGTTTCCAGACTCCCAAAATTACAGCATTTTAACACAAATTTTACAGTTTAATAATACCTTACATGCATAAAATCATACAGTAAAACAATAAACACAATGTAAATGAATTGAAAATGTAACTTCTCTTTACCTGTCAGCTCTGTTCTCTGACAGATTTGAGCTCTGTTTGCTTTGTCTAGTGCTAGGATGCCGATGCGTCATACCAACGAGGTTAATGCTGTGTGAGTTTTGTTCTAATACCGAGTTTTGGTCTGGTACCGAGAATTTTTATTTTATTATTTTATGTTTAAATATCGAACTGCTCAGGTAAAGGAGAGTTCGAGTTCGGAGGTTGCACTGTACTTAACTCATAATGGGAGTAAATAACTCACAAAATAGAATCACAGGCTCTGGATTGGTCGAGACTCGTCCTTCTGTGAGCTCGCTTGCTGCAGCACTTTGCTGACAAATTTTAGATAGTGTTGTAGTATTTAATTTAATTATTTTAACTTGTTTGCATATTCTTTTTTATGATGCTTTATACATTGGATGTCTGTTCTTGCCCGTTAGGGCCTCGATTTAATAATTCTGGATACGCTTTTTAAATGATTTAATAATTTTGGAAAAAAATGTCAAAATATTAAAACATAAAAAAAAAAAAAAATATATATATATATATATATATATACACAGGTGATACTCGAAAAATTAGAATATCGTACAAAAGTTAATTTATTTCAGTAATGCAACGTAAAAGGGGAAACTAACATATGAGATAGACGCATTACATGCAAAGCAAGATAGTTCAAGCCGTGATTTGTCATAAGTGCGATGATTATGGCTTACAGCTCATGAAAACCCCAAATCCACAATCTCAGTAAATTAGAATATTACATGCAATCAATAAAACAAGGAGTGTACATAGAACAATATCGGACCTCTGAAAAGTGTAAGCATGCATATGGACTCAGTACTTGGTTTAGGCCCCTTTTGCAGCAATTACTGCCTCAATGCGGCGTGGCATGGAAGCTATCAGCCTGTGGTACTGCTCAGGTGTTATGGAAGACCAGGATGCTTCAACAACGACCTTCAGCTCTTCTGCATTGTTTGGTTTCATGTCTCTCATCTTTCACTTGGCAATGCCCCATAGATTCTTTATGGGGTTCAGGTCAGGCGAGTTTGCTGGCCAATCAAGCACAGTAATCCTACGGTCATTGAACCAGGCTTTGGTGCTTTTGGCAGTGTGGACAGGTGCAAAGTCCTGCTGGAATATGAAGTCAGCATCCCCATAAAGCTCGTCTGCGGAAGGAAGCATGAAGTGCTCCAAAATCTCCTGGTAGACGGCTGCGTTGACCCTGGACTTAATGAAGCACAGTGGACCAACACAAGCAGATGACATGGCTTTCCAAATCAACACAGACCGTGGAAACGTCACACTGGACTTCAAGCATCTTGCAGTGTGTGCCTCTCCATTCTTCCTCCAGACTCTGGGTCCTTGGTTTCCAAATGAGATGCAAAAGTTGCTCTCATCAGAAAAGAGGACTTTGGACCATTGAGCAACAGACCAGATTTGTTTTTCTTTAGCCCAGGTAAGATGCTTCTGACGTTGTTTGTTGTTCAGGAGCGGCTTGACAAGAGGAATACGACATCTGAAGCCCATGTCCAGGATCCGTCTGTGTGTGGTGGCTCTTGATGCACTGCCTCAGTCCACTCCTTGTGAAAGTCCCCAACACTTTTGAATGGCCTTTTCCTGACAATCCTCTCCAGGCTGCGGTCATCCCTGCTGCTTGTGCACCTTTTTCTTCCACACTTTTCCCTTCCACATAACTTTCTATTAATGTGCTTTGATACAGCACTACACAACATCCAACTTCCTTCGTAATTACCTTTTGAGGCTTTCCCTCCTTATGGAGGGTGTCAATTATGGTTTTCTGCACAACTGTCAGGTCAGCAGTCTTCCCCATGATGGTGATTCCTACTGAACCAGACTGAGAGACCATTTAAAGGCTCAGAAACCCTTTGCAGGTGTTATGGCTTACTTAGCTGATTAGAGTGGGACACTGTGAGCCTAGAATATTGCACCTTTTCACAATATTCTAATTTACTGAGATTGTGGATTTGGGGTTTTCATGAGCTGTAAGCCATAATCATCGCACTTATGACAAATCACGGCTTGAACTATCTTGCTTATGTAATGTGTCTATCACATATATTAGTTTCCCCTTTTACGTTGCATTACTGAATAAATGAACTTTTGCACGTTATTCTAATTTTTTGAGTATCACCTGTATATAAACACATCATTATCTAAACAATATCAAAATATTAACTCATTTTACAAGTTTATCAAAAAATATTAAATAATTTGAAAGGTTTATCCCAAAATGCCTATATCCCAGAATTAAAGAGCCAATTTTACTGTGTGCGCTTTCTAAATTATGAAAATGTGAGTGATATTGATAAAGTTTTACTCTGTGAGAGCCACGTTGTGACATGATTTGTGTGGCACAGCCAGTAACTGCTCAGGAGCAGCTTGCTTTGTATAGCCATATCAATACATAAGAATACATATATTGTATACTAACATTTCATTTACTCAGTGTGTACATTTTACATTTATTTACTGTATGTATATTAGAATATTCTCTTTTCTTGGTTTTTAATGAAATGTTTCTGTAATATTGTGACGTGTACATTTGATTAAAAATATGTTCGATAATACAAGACTTTACTTTTATTTTTTTTATGTAAAAATGATTTATATATATATATATATATATATAAAAATAAAAGTCAACAAAACATGAGATGCTACAGAGAAGGACATTTCACAAAACCATTCAAAACATAGGAAGATGATGTCACAAAAATACCACTACGATACTAAGAAAAAAGTGTATTTACCATAAATTGAACGGCGGTATCGGTGTCCCCGATATCCGCAAATATTATTTTGCCACTAACGCTGCAGTGGTTGTGAGCGTTAACAATCAGGATGATAAACCCAGATGGATGGAAATAGAGGAATCAAAAATTTCACCGGTTAGATTATCAGAATTACCTTGGTTAAATTCTAAGAAAAGACCTGGAATTACTAAATTATTTTTATCTACCAAGACTACGCTTAAGGCCTGGGACATTGTTTTTAAAAATGACCAGTCTCCCAGTTTATATAGAGCAATGCCTATTGAGTTATTGAAAGATTATATACCATCCTTAAAAATAGAATTATTGAAGGATTGCTCTATAACTAATCTGGACAATTTTTTTTATGGCAATGCTATTCTTTCTTTGGAAACATTGAAGCTTAAGTATGGATTGTCAAATGTATGTGAAATGGAATGTATGCTAATCATTGATAAATTGAAAGAACTATACCAGGTAACTGAAACAGATAAAAACTATAAATCACTTGAGTTATCTCCTTTAGAGAAAGTTTTTTTTATACAGCCCTGCTAGTAAAGGTATGATATCCTTATGTTACTTATCTCATAATGCCAAGCCCTTAATTAAATTAAAACATATGCTGTCATGGGAGACGGAGTTGGGTGCCCAGTACGATTTAGAAGAATGGTTCGGTTTCTTTACAGGTTTAAAAGGTATTTCATATTGCACCGACCATTTTGAAAATCATTATAAAATCTTATATCGCTGGTACCTGGCTCCGTCTAGATTACATAACATGAACAATATGTATTCTGACCGGTGTTGGAGAGATTGTGGGGGAGTGGGCAATATGGCCCATATCTGGTGGTTCTGCCCCAAGTTAATTAATTATTGGAAAATGATCCACGATCTGATTATTAAAGTGAACGGAACCATTAGTATCTTAACCTCGGAACTAGCCTTATTTAAAAAACTCCCGGAGTCTGTTAATAGATCAGATAAAATAATCATAGGCCACATTCTGATCGCTGCTACATCCTGTTTACCTAGACATTGGAAGTCTCAAAATGTGCCATCTCTCAGAGAAGTTTTTAATTTGATTTTAGAAAATAAGGCACATGAATTATCACACAGAGCCAATATGCATGGTTTCCCAATGCTAAAATATAACTGGGATAAATGGGAAGAAAAAATCAAAACAGTTTATGGTCTTTGATATATTTATTGTTAAAGTGCATTGATGTAAAACGTTTTTCTTTTTGCCATATACTTTATTATGTTTATTTCATTGATGGATGGATACCCCTTCCCATTTCCAAGTTACCCCTCCTTTCCTACCCCTAATACAATGTTTGTATTATTATCATTTGTTATACAAAAAACTTTAATAAAAATTATTTGAAAAGAAAAAAGTGTATTTTACAGAAATATTGTTTTGATAAAAAATAAAGCTATAGAAATAAAAGCAGGACAAATGTAAACCTTTGCATTTGATGCATAGATTGGTTTTGTTGCATAGATCGTTCCTTTAGAGAATCAGCTTTGTTATTGGTTTATGTGCGCAGGGTTTTGGGTACTCTCCTGGTTTGTCAAACAACTCTACCACCAGGGCTCTTCCTACACCTCAATAAAGAGCTAGTGGTGGGACTGCACCCAAAGCCTTTATGCACCATAATCACTACAATAAGAAAATCAGAGTGCCCCACAATTTAAATACATGTTAAAATACGTGTTTGTACATATTATATTCACATCAAAATATGCACCTTAAATGTAGATGCCAGCTACCTTTGTATTACCACAAGCACTACCATAAGCACTGTTGCATCTTCCTCCCGGGTTTTTTTTTTTAAAACTACAGAGGAAAGAAATATATCTGACATGACTAAATAAATGTAGACTTTTTCTTTTTAAAAACAATATTTAACATTTATAATCATTTTCGTGCGAACACAAAATTCTTTTCATTTCTGGTGAAATACTTCGGAGTTTGAGGTTTGAAAATAGCTGGCAATGCTCGGTGAGCAAAACTCTGGTGTCCTGGGGAAAGATAAATACGTAAAAAAATTCTTACAGCTACAAAACTATATCTCAATCAATTTTAGTGTCACTGAAAGACAAGTCTGTCACACCATCAATCCTTAGATTTCCAGATACCACAGTGCTGGGTTGTACAGTGCAAATAAAGGACCTCTTGGTGACACTGTAGATACCTACAGGCAGAGGATATAGGATAATACGTCCCCCAGGACAATGTGTGTTGGTGTTGGCTGTCACAGTACAGGAAAACACGAGACAAGTCACATCAGGTAAAAAAATGAAGAAATGGTTCATATCCTGACAGTTGAAGCTGACTGACTTATCTTTCAATATAGTAACCTTGGGCTAATCAATACATTTAAATGGATCATTTATCATACCGTCACGCATCGGGCTGGATTAAATTTTTTTTTTTTTAAATTAAAAAAACAACAAAACCACAAACAATTCTTGAACCCCTTAAGGACACATGACATGTGTGACATGTCATGATTCCCTTTTATTCCAGAAGTTTGATCCTTAAGGGCTTAAAGGGGTCCTATCTTAAAAATGAGTTTCAAACTAAGACAACAAAAAAATTATATTTTTATCCAACCAGCTGTAGCATATTTAGCTGTAATTACGTACCCGTTGAAGATCTAACATTTATTCTGTGTTTAGGTCAGAGGAGTGATAGTAACACTTCGTTGGTGACCAAAGCAGTTAGTTTTTTTGTTTCGATTTTTACCATCACAATTCTTTTCTTCTATTTCCGGCAGTTGTGAGTTCATGGAAGAATTAATTAAAGTACAACTGTCATCAAATTTTCACTTCTCATTTTTAAAAGTTTATTATATTTAATGAAACTCAATGATTTTTTTTTAATTATGTATGCTGCTTTTTTTGTTTTGTTTTGTTTTGTTTTT